GCAGCTCGGCAGAAAGGAAGGTTGTCTGCTGCCAACGTGCAGGACACGGATCATTTGGGTTTTTTGGTGGGGTTTTTTTTTTTGGTGGTTTTGTTTTCGTTTTCTTTTTGGCTCAGCTCTGAGAGCATTACAGAGCTATCCTTTCCCGCCTCCCGACCCTCTTCCCCTCCCCCTCTCCTTTCTGGTGCAAGCAATTAGGGTGAAGAAATCATTGCCAGGCTCCTGCCTCTAAAGAGAAAGGAATTGCTTCGGGGAATTGAGTCCTGACACCTGTCTCTGCCCTGGATGGCAGGAGGGGATGCGAGGTCAAACCGCCTGGCCTAGGGCCGAATAGGGGAAGAGGCCTGGCTGACCGGGAGGGGAGGACACCCCTAAAGAACGTTCCTGGGGACTCCTCCCGCCACGTCTTCCCGCCCTACCCTTCGCCCTCCAGCTGCACACAGATCATTAACACGCGGGTTATTAACACGGAGTGGCGTTCCCCCCCCCACCCCCGCTTCAGGGCCCCGAGACCTGGATCCAGTGCTAGAATCAGAAGAGCCACACTGACAAGCCGTTCGCTCATGAATTTGCATTTATTTTCGGGAAGTAATGTAGATAAACGGGGTGGGGGGGCTGCCTCACATTTCAACAAGTAATTTGTGGTCTTCACATCGGACAAATTAAATTTACAAATTACTTTCCCACCTACTGGACGAAACGGCCAAAGCCAAAATTGATACACAGGCGCGGGCGGTCCGCATATTTGGAAGCGCGAGGTGCACTAAGAACTCACTAGACAAAACAGGGGAGGCTTAGAGAGAGAAGCTGGCGGGAACGGGAACTGGGGTTTGGGACCTGGGTTTGTTTGTTTTCCCATAATATGTTTTTCTTTCCTTTTTTTTTTTTCTTTTTTGGTCTCTAAACCAGAACTGCGACCCTGTGCTTAGCCCCGAAGGACACAGCCCTGCGCCCCAGCCCAGCCCCCTCCCCTCTAACCTGACTTTTCCGCTTCCTCCACACTCCGGGCCCTCCGACCCCCAGCGCCCAAACGGTTCTCTTTAATAAATACAAACAGGGAAAAGGTGTGAGGGCAGGGCAGCTTTGAACAACTGAAAAAGGAAAAGCGCCATCGTTTGAGGAAGAGAAGCAGGGGGACAGAGGGAAATATTTTTGCTTTTGTTTTATATATAGATGTGTATATGTATATATATATATGTTGTATATATCTTAAAGTTCTATTTCCTGGGCGCTAAAACGAGATATGCTTCAGTTCAACCAACAGCCACTAGAAAGTGTGAGTGGTCCTTGGAACGGACCGACTATGTACAGCATTCCCGCTGAGGCGGAAGCGTGAGCCTGGTCTACGCGGGGCGGGGCTGAGCGTGAGAAGCGGGGGGCGCCTCCTCCGGGGCCGGCCCCAGCGCATCCTGCGTCCTGGGAGGAGGAAGAGCCGAGAGCTTGGGCCTGCAGGCGGGGAGCGGGGCCCAGGGCAGATGAAGGGACGGCAGCCTGCACGGGAAGAATACGCGGTGGGTGTTTGGGAGTAGAGTGTGGGTGCACTCAAATGGGCAAACACATGCCAGTTAGTGACTCCAGTGTCCAGGAAGAATAAATAAAAGTGTAGGGCTCAAACAGCCAGTCAGAGCCAAGAGCCTCCGAAGGCTTCAAGTGCATACTAAATTGTCCAGAAAGACTGGGAGAGGGTGAATTGGGAGTTCGGTCGGGTTAAGGGGGAGAGCACACAGCGCTCCCGTATAGAACTTGTGGGCCAAGCCAAAGCACCGGTCCCTTCGTCCAGGGGGTGGGTGGATTTGCACCTCCTACCCTAGCAAGTGGCACGAAGGTGAGGGCGGCAGTGCAGGCCATGGGCATCGTTTAGGGGCATGAAAATCAGATCTGGAGAAGCCGAGGCAAAGGCGGGTGGTGCAGCAGCAGCAACAGGACGGGGACCACAGGGAGCGTAGGTAGTTTCGTTTCTCTTCCTCCTCTCCCACTCCTGGGCTCACAATACCTGGAACCGCCACGAGGCTTGGTCTTTATAGTCCAGACAGTCGGGCGAGTTGAAGTTGAGTTTCCAAGCAGAGGAAGCGGCGGTGGCGCCAGGCTCCTTGTAATCCAAGCAGTCGGCAGAGTTGAAGGCGAGCCCTGAGCTGCCATAGCCCTGGTGGTGGTGGTGATGGTGGTGGTGGTGGTGGCCGGAGGACTGGCTCAAGGGGTGGTGTGCGTGGGGATGGTGGTGATGGTGGCCCGCCATGGAGGATGGTGCCATGGGGCTGAGCTGGTGCGGGTGGTGGTGCGAGTGCATGGGCGCCAGATAGGAGCTGCAGTCCACACCGCCGAAGTAGGAGGAGGAGGGCGCGGGGTAGCCCTGGCCATAGCTGCCGCCCTGGCCGTAGGACATGGGATAGGAGGCTGCAGCCGAGGCCGCGCCGGCGGCTACCGAGCGCTGCATACACGACGCGTTGCTAGGTGCGGCCAAGGGCTCGGGCACCGACACCGACGCAGGTGCGGAGCCCGGAGAGATGGAGGCC